AAAAAACGAAGTCCAGATGACATGATTCAACCTTTTTTGTTGTTATATACCTGGATGACTGAGAAAACAAACTTTGAGTGTATCCTCAAGTGTTTCCTCGCAGTTTGTCACAATTAGATTAAAATATTCTGCTTTTTTTTTTAAAGGAATTTAAAAAGTACAGTCGAACTAATGATTTCACCACTAGAAAACACTCTGCTCCTGTTTTACTGCTTTAGTTTCATATGAAGGACTTGCTGAACAGTAGACATGCTGCCTTGCTGCATTTATTTAAAATAGATATGTTTTGAACACTCAGATGAATTAACAACTGAAGTCCTTTAAAGCTCAGTTTTAGCTCCTGGTGGCCTAATGTCTAATTACTAGTGACTTCTTGAACCACTTGAACTGAAGAAATTATGATTTATTTTTGTTCTTCAGAGAAAAAAAAAATCCATTTAAAAAAAAAATGTAATATGTAAGATGTGTTGAAGAGAAAGATGGATGTGTACATTTTAGGAGACTGCTGCATGCTTTGTGGAAATGCATAAATCACACTGTGCGGGCATTGTAAATGATGCAGAGAGATGTTTAATATTTACTACACTATATAAAAATGATTCCTAACCTACTGTCAGAAATGTCTGCGAGTTGCAGCTCTTCACTCTTAGTGATTGATGCCATCGAGACGGAGCTTTAAAGTAAATTTGAGTATCTAAGCTGCCTCTCTGAAAGGTGGCAGGTCTGGCTGTTTTGATGCTTTAGGCAGACTTTGTAGCTGATTCAAACAGTAAAACAGACAAAACTGCAGAAGAAATGGATCAGACCTGTACTTACTCCGAGGTAGAACTGTCTAAATAACTGTTAAAGAAACTTGGGACTCATCCTAAGAATTATCTCTGTGGGAGTCCAATAACTTGCCACTTTGTCTAATATAGGTTAACATTATTCTTATTAACCACCCATGAAGACAGCTATTAACTGAATTTCAGACGTTTTAATAAACGTTTTAAACCCATTGATAATCATATTTATGAATTTTAAGGCAATACAGATGTGCAAGAGTGTAGAACCTGAGCCCATATGAGAGAGTTGGTGGTGCCTTTTGGACCGTGTTGAGTTGATCAGACATGTCTTCTTCTGGAGCATCATTAGGGATTTTTAACATGAAAATTGGTAAACAAACTGTCCTAGTTAAAAGGGAGGAAAATGTTGTAGGCACTGTAATTTTCACACATCAGCTTATTTAATTTGGGATGTTTTGGTGAGTTACCGGTACATTTGTATTCAGAAGTAAGAATTTTTTAGCCTGAATTATGAAAACATTACTTGAAACATCTCTAGAAGTCAGAATTCCAGCTTCAAAAAACAGAGGTTTTCTTACCAACGCTGACTTCCAATATGGCTGCCTTGCACAGAAATCGAATCCAGTAACAGTTGCAATATTCAACAAATAGTCAGCCATTTTATTGGTTTGTATCCTAATAAATCCATCAAAGGGATGACATCTACATTGATCATGCTGCTACAGTGGTTGAATTCATAAAATACATAGAAATAAATCATCAACTTTTATTGCTGACAGTAAGCCTGGTCACTGAGCACAATAGTAGCATTTCTCACAGATTTTCTGGTGATCTGCTGGAACACGGTTAAGTTGGATGAGATTTCTCGGATCTGAGTTCTAATTTTGGGATCGATGAAATACAACTGTGCCCTTGTGGTTTTATCATACACCAAATAAACCCAAAAGTTATTTTTTCAAATGTCACTTTACAAAAAACTCAGCAATCAAGTTTTTTTGTATCCTCTTTACCAAATCAAACGAGTTTAGACTAGGGATGCACAAGACTGTATTTTTGGGCGATATGCCGATATGTTAAAACTTGTTTGGCCGATAACCGATACCGATAATATATGTTCCTTTGTCAGAGCATAGTCCTCTTATTTAGGCTTATTTGCTACAAAAATTGTGTAACAGCTGTAAGAGCTGGTGACATATATTCAGTAACAGCCATATGATATGCATAGCACTTTAACTTATATTAAATGAAAAGTGTTAAATATGATTAATAGTATTAGTCACCTGCGATGCTGTCTCACTTGTGGAGGCTTGTTCCAGGTTCCTAGCTGCAGTGTGGGATTCTCTGCACTCCTGTGCATGAAGGACAGCCTTTTTAAGTTCAAAGTTTTTGTCTATCCATTGTGCCATAAGACTAATCATGCTAACGGGGCAAACACGACGTCCAAATATCTGTGGTAAAACTCACCCAACAAGTTGTGCTATTGGCTATTAGCTTCTCAATGACGTCGGAAATGATGGCTTGTAACTCAGGTAATGTTACGTTGGAAAAATATCTCCGGCTGGAGATGATGTAGCGAGGCTCAACATAGTCCAAACATCTTCGGAATCCGACATCCTCAACGAAAAAAACTTCCACACCGCCGACATTTTGACATCGTCTTCTCCACCATGATCAGATCAGGTAGACGCGCGTGACGTCATCACGTTGTGCTGTCGCTGCAGGCATCTCTGTTACTGGACTGCCATACAAAAATAGCGTCTTTTATATCGGCGAGTTATTTTGATGGAATGGCCGATGTCCGATATTTAACTTTAACGCTAATATTGGCCGATACCGAAACCATGCCGATAATATCATTCATCCCTAGTTTAGAGCATTGGTCAAAACCAAGTCTCAATCTGCTACTTGCATTATCTATTTATTTTTATTATTTTTTTGGAGGTCTTTGCATAGATTATGCACTGGCTTTTGCTTCAAGAGGAGTCTTTGTAGTTAAATTATAATAATAAAAATCATAAATAAAACATAAACCATAGTTTGTTGCTTTAAAGTAAGGTGTACACAGTTCTAATCAATATTTAGTCTTATGCCAAGGTGGAAAATACTCTAAGTGCTATTTTCATGTTTCACCTGTTACTTAGCCTCAATATTCGGAAGTGGTGGTGCAGAGGTTAGAAAAGGTGGATGTGTGATCGGAAGATCACCGGTTCATCTCCTGATACCAACAACATCAGAGTGTGGGTAGGATAGGTGAAGCACCGGCACCTGCCTCCACTCTCACTCTCGCTCCACTCTGGGCCCTTGAGCAAGGCCCTTCACCCCCACCATCTTCTCCCCTGGACGCTCTAGATAGCAGATCTCTGCTCCACACAGAGGGCTGTGGTAGCTCGGTGGTCTGTGGTTGCGTCAGGAAGGACATCCGGCGTAAAAATAATTGCCAAGTCTTTGTGCGAGTTAGTTCACTGTGGTGACCCCTGAAGAAGGGAGAAGCCAAAAGAAGAAGAAAAATTATTTTAAAAACTGGCTTGGAAGTTATATACATAAAGTAAAAAAAAAAACTTTTTAAATCAAGGCTCGACGTGTCAGTAGCTCTACGCTGCAGAAAAGAAAATCTGTTTGTGCTGTTCCACAAGTTTTTGATAAGAAGATTCTTGTCAAAAGGGGACAATCTGCCACATGATGGCAAACGTTTACACAACTTGGGCATCTCTGTTTTGGTTGTTTAGTATTAGAAGGGTAGGACGTACTGCGGGTCCAACAGTTCCAAAATATATATTTTTTTAAATAATAACTTTTTGGTCCATTGGCTGGTTATCCAGAGCGATAAATTCACTCTCTTATTGCTGTTCCATAGAAACCTGTCTCTGCTCTTTATTTCCCTCTACAGTGTATTACTTAGTCATGCTAGCTTCAGGAGATAATTGGGTGAACTCTATACTCAGCAAAGAGTTTCAATTTTAAATGTCTAATTTACTCCTGCTGCCACAAGAAATACCCATATTTGCAACCATTGCAAGCAACTGCTGAAATGTTCTCATTTACTATTTTAAAATACGTCCATATCACAAACATGTTGACACAATACATCACAATGTCTCACAGCAGAGGTAAAACCATCGACAGTAGGCCAACAACAAAGATCTGGAGCATAGTGTGATCTTCTCCAGTACCGATTAATAAAAGAACATCATGATCCAGACCCCAACGGGACATTACTTTAAAAGCACCATTTGCAATAAATCATAGGCTTAAAAAATACTTTCAAGTAAAAACCAGGGCTCCCAGCAGTTCACAAAAACAATGTCCCATGAGTGTACCCTGAGTAAATCCTGAAATTCCAGGAGATATTTCACATGATGTGCTCAGAAGAACGTTGCATCTTAGATGGCGGGCAGAGTCGCATAGAGATGACAGTATAGGGTGCGTGCATACAGCCATCATTCCTAATAATTACATTTCCAACATCGTAAACTAGAAACCCACCATAATCAATCTGTAAGTACACTGTAGAAGCAGAACATGGACTCATTGGTACTAGAAAACTATCATTAATACATGTACACATTAAAATCTCAGAAAGATAATCCTTTAATCTGCAGATCAGTGTTCAAATTCCCAGAGTTTCCCCCTGTACGGAAAATGTGAAAGTCATTTTTTAGGTTTTGCCTGATTTCCAGAGTTGTTGGGGATGACACAATTTATTGTACACCCATAATTTAGAAAACGTTTTCTGGATCTACTTCTTTTGTGACAACTTTGTGAAACACTTTGGATGTTTCTTGTAAGTTGGATTTGACAGCTTCAGAAAGTTTTAATGAGTCCCTGAGCTCCTATTTGTGTTTAATAAGAACAGAAGTGAATGCATTTGTAAAGTTAAAGTGAACTTCACAAGACTATGTTTAGCCTCAGCTAAACTAAAGTTAAACAGGAGTAAATAAACTTTAATTTACTTTAACTTGCATTGTTTTTCCGTTCCGTGTTTCTTGTTTTATCCGTAGAAAGTATGGATGTGAACAGAAACAAACTATAGCCAGCTTGTATTTAGTCCGTGCTAAGTTATCAGCTGTTTGTGAATAATTTAAAACGTGTTATCTGCAGCTTCACTAAAAATTTGTTTAAGCAAAAACAGCATTAACGGACATGTAGTACAGCTGTTGTGGGCCTTTTTCTTTTTTCATTCTTCATTCCAAGATATCCAAGATCATAGTTGATAACGGAGCAGTTGCGTTGTCTACCTACGACTCTCCACTGAGGGTTTTCTGCTTCGTTTGTGATGACCTGGAAAGTTGTGTCACCAGAAGACCGAGTAAATCTTTAAATTGATAACGTGAGACAAAAAGAAGAAATAAACCCGCCTGTTTTTGAGCTTTTAACCGGAGAATTTCTTTGCCGCAAAACATAAATGGAGCACGATAGTTTCTCCGGTTCCTTTTTTGAATGATTTGATTCTGCATAATCTTTATTTTGCACCTCACATGTGAGCATCCCAGAGTCTGTTTGTTGGGTTTGATGAGTAAGTAGCTGATTTACATTTTATTTTTCTTGTTCTCTGCAGCTCTGCCGACAGATGAAGGCCCTCCTCTGCCATGTATGAGGTTGCGTGTCACAGTGTGCTGTGAGCCCAGTGAGTACTCTCCTCCTTTTATCTGTTCTTCCTTTCATGCTTTTCCTCTTTGTACAACCAAGAGACTCTTCTGCCTCTCACGTCTCCACTATCAAGGAGTGAGTATCAAATGATGTTCAGACAACTTATCCGCACAATAGTACTTTCTTTTTTTTTAACCAAACTATAAACTTAACTCTCTTTCCTTTGCTTTTGATCCTAATTAGATGGAAGGGGTTTTTTTTAAGCGCCACTTTGCTCTTAAGCACCTTCTCTTTTAATCCACCTCCTTGTCAGCCTCATTCTCCCACTGCCCATCTCCGTTTCTCAGCGTGAAATTCTCAGAGTTGATCTAATCCAGAGCCCGCCTGGCGTACTGTTAGTCTTCCGGTTCAGTGAGCTGCCCATTCCGGTTGGGAATATTGCTCAGCCATTGTGGGAGTCCCTGTATGGTGGTCAGTGTGTGCGCGTTCAATGTGAACCGACACTTTTTTCCTTTGTGATTGTGTATTTCTGCACTCCTGAATGAGAGTCTTTGCGTGCGATCGCTGGCAGTTGGTTGGGCGTTTATACCCTTGCATGCGTGTCCGAGACGTCTGTCCCAGTTCCCATCCCAGTGTTGTCTGCAGGGGGGCTTGTTGTGCTGTCGCAAACTGAACTAACACACTTTTTTTTCCACCCAATTCAATGTAACTAGCTGCTTGATTGTCTACAACAGGGTTATTCAACTGGTGGCCAAATCAGGCCCATGGGTGAGCTCAGTTCGGCACACCAATGGGTTCATTTTTAAATAAAACTTGATTTTAAATTGTAAAACAACTTTACTTAATGAGAACAACTGCTGGATGCCCGGCCCCTGAGCTCTTGGCTTTCAGTAACTGTGGCCCCTGAGCAATTTAGTTGAATAGCCCTCGTCTAAAACGTATAATAAAAGATTTCCGCCTTGCAGTTTTACTTAAAATTATGGTTGAGGGGATTGTTATCTGAAATCCACCCTGCTCCCCCCTCACCCAAAAAACAAGATTAATTTATCACAAATGATATCCTAAATGTCATTTCTGCTCTGGTGCAAGACTGGGGGAGTAATTTGCTGTTTTTACCAGAGTTAAAGCAGATGACTTTTTTTAATATGCTAATTATCCTGCTGTCATTAATTAGAAAAACATCAGATAGCAGTTGAGTTGGGAAATGCTAATGTATTCTTGACCTTCTGACAGTATTCCCCAATCAGTTTATCTGTGCCAAAAATTACAATAAAGAAAAAAAAACCTACTTGAAAAAGCCCATATTGTGCATGCTTGGAGCAACATTTCACTTTTAAAAACTTCAGAGGGGTAAGATTTCTACCTGTACACGCACGCATTTGCTCCTCAGCTTCTCATCCTTTCACCTAAACTAATCCCAACTAAATTTCAGAATATGTGTCTCCTTTCCCCCCCACCGCTGTTTCACGCTCTTTCTTTTTTTTTCACTTCTCTGTCATTCCTGAAGTGGCACTAATCCCCACCCTCTCTCTGTCTCTTCAACGCTCTCCTCCCCTCCTCGTTTTTTTATGATCTTTCGCTACTGGAGCAAATCTAATCTAGGCCCCATCCATTGCTAGTCTCTTACACATCCTCCTCCTCTTCGCCACCTTCCTTGTTCCACCTTCCCTTTGTTGAAGCTCGTCAGTTGTTCCCCTTTCCCCATTTCTCTGCTTCGCTCCATCTTTGTCGTGCGCGTGCTGTGCGGAGAGTTGCGTTGGGATGAGTGTAAACGAGTGGAGGGTGAATTGGATAGATGAGAGGAGATGGAGGAAGGTTGGAGGCTGTGTGGACACTCGTGGCAGTTCCCTACAGCTGCTGTCGCTCCCTGTGGTAGCGTTTCAGATCCTCGCCAGTTCCTTCCTGCTCCAGGTGCCCCTTTCATCTGCTAGCAGGGCACGCCATCCCTGCGCGCTCTGACGGCATGTGTGGCCGTCAGTGATGGCAGCTCCTGTCCTTCAGCTACGTCTCTCATCTAAACTTCAAACCGTGCACCTCCCACTCTTCTCTCCCCTAGTTTTCTTCCCCTCCTTCACAAATCAGCCTGTTTTCAGCTTCATGTGGGGATACCTTGTTCTGGGAGGTTTGAATTAATTACCAACACAACTCGTCTCGCACCGCGAGTGTGAAAGACAGAGGTGACTGTGAGTCCATAAGGTATGCTGTCATTGCTCCAAGGTCAACCCAGCACTCTGCAGTCCCTTGATCTCCTCCCTGGTGTGTGGATGTGTGTTTATTACCTTTAAAGTGATCGCTCAGATGTTCTGAAGTGGGGTTCTATGGAAAGGTTATGCACAATTTCGACCTAATCAACAACTCAAGCAGGGTCGAGAATAAAATTGATCGCTGCCATCCAGTCACACTAATTTATAGCGGTTTATGTGAATGCAATGTTATAAACCTTTAAAATGCCATCGATTTCACATCGTATGATTATTTACGTAGAATTTGTGGTTATTTGTAAGTGAAACTAGCAGCAGCAGCTAAATGTAGCCTGGCCAGAATTAAACCGTATGTCTCCAAACTGAGGTTGCTCAAGGAGTTATTAACAGATGAGGTATTAATTGTTTGTAGTCGGTTCATATAACCCCAATTCCCAAGACTGAAACAGTTCCTTTAAACAAACTGCGGTGCACAACAAACAGGGCAGGACTGAGTGAGTTGCGCACAAGGATGTTGGTTACATTCTGTACCCGTGTCAAACCAGTTTCCTATCCTTCAATTGGAATGACGAAAAGTTTTATTGTTAAGGTTTCAGTACGTGTTTGTTTAGTTTTGATCCCAATGCTGTCACGAAACACACTAGGAGGAGGGGAAAAAAAGCTTTGCTGATAGACGTTTAAGCCTGTGTTGCATCAGAATCTAGGCTCTGAGTCGGCATCAGTAGACGGCTGTGGTGAAATTTCTGGTGCCCTGCAGTCTTTATTGCATCTTCTTCAAGCTCGCTTCAACTCCATGCTTACCTTTTTTATGATGCATCTCCTCCTTAAAACTCCCGGTGTGTTTGTCTCTTTGGCTCCTGTTGACGCTCTGCCTTTCTCTCTCTCTCTATCTTTTTTATCTGTCCCACTGTGAGAAACCATTACAGACCAACTTCCATCCCTCCCTAATTGATTCCCCTTCCCTCTCTGTCTCACTTCCCTTTTTACAGTCATTGTCCTGCTGTGAGCAGTCCATTACATTTACTTCAGTTTGCAGAGCTTCACCATTTCCCTCGCTTTATATAGTTTTTTTTTTTTTTACCGCAGCTATTTTTTTTCCCTTCAATTTCTTGCATCCCTGCCCTCCTTAACCCCCCTCCGCTCTTTCCCAAATACCTTCATACTACTTGAACTTGACGCTCAAAAGGGAAAACCTCGAACAGACGTACTCGCCCCAAGATCTCCGAAGTCCAATCTGAAGATTAAATTTTTTTTAACTTGCGCCGTTTTTATCGATTTTACGGTTAAAGTTTGCTACATTTTGCTTGTTCGAAATTTTGTTGACAACAGTCTTTTTGCTAGCCGTCAGAGCTGGTTACCGTTAGCTCCGGTTTTGTGTAAAATGGCGGCACAGGAGGAGAGGTGGGATGGTGGAACCTTGCCTTCTCTGCAGCGGTGTTCTGCATACACCCACACGTGCGTGCACTATTCCACGGCTGTGCATGTGCAGCCACACACGGCACGTTTCTGACTGCACTGCGGCGAGGGCATGCTTTTTGCAGTCACACCCCCGTGGACACCATTTTGTGTGGGAGAGCTTGCCATGACCAAAATCATGATGACGGTGATGTTAACAAAAACTGAATGCACTCCATTTTCGACTTTGTTTTTTGTTTTGTTTTGGGGTTTTTTGCGAAATGATGCGAATAAAGCTAAATCAAAACACACGAGCAAACGCAAGGAATTTGATAGAAGAAAATTTTACGTTTTGGTTGGCTACGAAACAAACACGGTAATTTTTTTAACAGTACTTTAGATAAATAATAAGCTTCATGTTTGATCATGAATGAAATATTTGTAAAACAGAAATTTATCAAATTTTATATTTAGCTTAAATATCAGTGGTAAAAAGATTACTAAAGATTTTTACAAGTCCAAGAAATTAATAAAATTACCAGTGATATACCAGTATACATTTTTCACTAATCGTTCACTAATAAATAAAGTTATTAGTCTGAACTTTGTTGGATAAATTTCTGATTATTTTGACAAATTTGGGTTATTTTGGACACAAATGTTGTTTATCGTCCAGTTCTTTTATTTTATTTTTAGTTGTTTTGGCCTATATTTTTATAATCTCACTGAAAAGAAGCTTGTGTGAACCCCGTGCAAGGCCGGGGGCGGGAATCCTATTTAATGCTTCGTTAACCCTTCGATGGTCGTTAGTTGTACACAACCTGAGAGTAATTTAGTGTTGTGCTGTTCACAGGAAGATCGTCTGTTACAAATCAAATGTAGTTTTTCCGGAGGCGTTCAGGCACTTGTAGTTTTCACGGGACTGCACGCGCCGGTTTGACTTACGTTGTCAGGGTTGTGGTGTCGGAGCCCAGTTCAAGGCCATAGATTGATTTAATCACCAGTTTCAGTCTCATCCTTGTGTTCTGACTCTTTTTTGTCATTGATCACTGGAACCTAAAATATTTCTCTCTTCAGAGACACTTAAACAGAGTTTTGTCCTGCAACCTGTATTTTTTGTCCGTTTTACTCGCGTTAGTCCATTAAACAGTCTCCGCACTCTTCCTTCCAGTATTTCCTCACAGTGTCGTCCCCCCCCCCCCCCACACCTGCTGAGAAACTAACGCCCAGACACAAATGTCTACCCCCCCACTCCTGATCCCGTCTTTTTCCTTCCCTCCCTTCGCTCTGTCTGACCTTGTTTCGGTTCTTCCTTTATTTTTCTTTCATCGTACTTTCCCACTCGAGTCTCCATCGCTCCCCCTTTCGTCTTCTGTCCACTTCTTGGTTTCGCTCTGTCATTTCGAGATTCCTTGTATTTTTCCGCCTCCCTTTTCATTTCCTGTATCCCACCCCCACCCCACCCTGCCTCCTGTATAAACTCCATCATTCTTACTCATTGTAATTTGCATAACACTATATTTTCCTGTTTCTGTGCCTTCCAAGCTTTTTTTTTTTTTTATCCGACCTTTAAAAGTATTTGCATAGGGGACACATTTAGGGTTGATAATCATTTTTCATGGCGTTAGTCTTTGAGTAATGGTAAACACCGTCCCCTGGTCATTCGCCTGCTTCACACGGCAGCAGCTTTATTAAAAAAAGTTAAGCATGCAAAAATGACTAATCAGCACCTTGTCTTTGCTTCAACTTGACTAAATCTCTTCCACTTCTTGCATTTTTTTACAGCATCAGAGGGTTCACAACAAAAACAAGGTGAGCTGTGCTTTCTTGTAATAAATTTATCCCATAGGATTTGTTTTTACGTTTCTACATGCTTTTATATATCACTCTGCTTCAAATCTGCTCAAGTTTACGGTTTTGTACGTTTATTTCCAAATCTGTTGATGAGTTTGTGCTGCTTCATCAGCCTTCGCTCTTCTGGAAAAGTTGGAAATCCAATTTAGCCACAAGTTAATCCCATTAGCTATTAGTGGTGTTAGGGGGGTGGGAGGAAATGTTGGACACAAACTGCGCACGATTGTTTCATGCAGGGCTGCGGAAAAAGCAGTAAAGTTCTCCAAGCTTAGCCAAAACTTTGACTTTGCGGTATGTGAAAGACTCACTGTAGGGTCATGATTTTTGTCAATCATTGGAGCCAAGTCCAAATCTTCAAGCTGCTCCAATTGAAACAAACTGATGATATTTTTGCTTGTATTTGCATATCAGACATCCGCAATAAAATAAAAATGTTTTTCTTCTCCATTTTAGAAACGAAACGTCTAAAGAGTGGCTCCTCGCTGAGAACTGTTTCCCTTCCTCTCATCCTCTTCTTCCCCTTGCTGATCACCTGATTTATCCGTCCTCATCACCGACTTGTGGGAGCAATCACTCAGATGTTCGGAGAAACAATGCGATCTGTCCTCGGAGAACAAAACACGCCACGTTTAAGCTATTGCAAATGACAGTCACTGCCTTGTTGCTGTTGTTTACCAGTGAAACTCCAGACAGAACTGTGTTTTTGTCCAGAACTCAGGGACCGACTGAATCACGGTGATGCATAGCTCGTTTTCTGGTCCTTCCTGCTGTGCCACTTAAAAGAACAAAGCGTTGCAGGAAGTCATAAGACTTGAATCCATTTCTGATGCCATAAGAACAATTATGAGTTTCTAAATTTGTTCTGAGGTTAATTTATGTTTTTATTATTGGTTTTTTTTTCCTGTTTAGTTTTTTTTTTTTTTTTCTCTTCTTTTTTGATTTTTTTACCTGCCTCCAGTTGAAAAGTGGCCAAATAAAATGCGACTGTGAGGAGTGGCTCAGGTTGGAAGTCGATCACTTTTTTTAAATGTTGTTTATGAACACTGAATAATCTTTAACCACTCTGTTTGTGTCAGAGCAACATAAATGTCTTCTGCTTTTGTAGCTTATTACATTTGTAAAGAAAAAGAAAAAAAAGAGTCCATGGACTATTGAAGAACAAGGAGACTGGTTTGCTGCGCCCCCTGCTGGGATTAAACTGGTTGTACTGGAGTTGAACTGGTTTGGCCATAAAAGCCAGATGCCTGATCAGATTCTGGTTCTGCATGGTATTTTAAGAAGACCTGGGAGTTGGTCTTCACTGACAGGTCGACCCGTTGTTCTACCTTTGCACTCTTCCTCCTGCTTTCGAACAAATTAAATTCAAGAACAAAGGGGGTTATGGGTAAACTGAGAGCATCAGCTTTACAGTACTGCAGAGGTGATTGGCTGGTTCTGCCAACAGAGCAAATATGCACACAGGATTTTTTTTTCTTTTTACTACATTATTGGGTTAATTGTATATTTTGCAAGATTAACATGTAATACTGTATAATTTAATCCAAACACTGGCAACAATGTGTCTGTATTTCTAAATTGCAAGATTAACTCAAAGGTTTCTGGTTGTGTATAAGCAAAAAATGGCGTAATTTCAGGATATGTACATTTATATTTTTGATGTTTATTTCTAAACAACAGATTGTAAAGTTTATTGGTTTGTTAGATAAATGTATTTCCTTTCACCATCTAAAATGCTTAGATAAAAGGATCATAAATTATGCTGACATTTTTACATATTGGACTTTTTGCAGGGGTTATCCCCCTTGAAACCAAATTAATGTTCTATATTTGCATTGTTGCGTAGTCATTTTTCCACACTATTTGAACTACTTGCGCTTAGAAACTCAAAAAGTAACTATAAAGTTTCTTGCTTTAAAAACGTTGGTTAGCACTTAAATACTTATCCTTTAAATATTTGCTGCAAATCATTCCAGTCATGTTCATGTTAAATTCCAAAAAAAGGGATAAAAACCAATGTTTGAAGACTTTTTTTACTAAAGTATTTTCATTATCTACCACTTTACAGTCGTGCAAAGAGTAGGACGTTGTTTTTTTTTTTTTTAAGTTTCATATGTGTGATTCTGGTTTCACATTTTTGTGAAAATAAATATGTAGCATCTTCTGTGAAGAGCAACTGCAATCTGAGCCGTTTTCTGTGGCAGGACAATAAATAAATATGATTGCAATCAAAAGTTCAAGTCAATGATATTTAATTATTATTTTTTTTTTTTTTTTAAGAATCGATCCTTCTTATGTAACCACAAGCATGGGTGACAAGTTGCAGTCGTACACACAGTTTTATTTGTGGAGCAGACACATTGAATGTTCTACACAGATAAGGAGACTACAGGGACTTGCAATGACCTTGTGGTGTGAGGAGCCATTGTAATGCGAGTAACCTGGTGGAATATCGAGCTGGTTTTTATCTATGGCCTGATAAGACTCAAAGGACTCGTGCTTTTAACAGACTCTCAAGCATCCACCTTAAAGATGCTACCTTCTGTCAAACACGAGACTAAAGTTCAATAAAGTTCACAAAAAATGTTTATTTAACCTTTTTTAAATCCAGGCAAATCCCATTGAGATCACTGAGCTCATTTTCAAAGGACTGGGCCTGAAGGCAGTCTGAACATGCATGTTTTTGAGCTGTGGTAGAAAACCGGAGTACCCGGTAAAACACACGTAAAGGCAAGGAGAACGTGCAAACTACACACAGAAAGACCCCAGGCCCAAACCAAGGTTTGAACCCAGGTTCTTGCTGAGGTGCAGCAGTGTTAAACACCAAACTTGTTCTGCTGGGGTGTGTTTTATATGGGGTTTCTTTATGGTTTAAACATAGAAGTTGCATCAATTTATCTTGTATATACAGTTCTATTTAGATATGCAATGTAGAACGTCTTCTGAAGCCAGAGAGGCGTATTCCTGGATAATGGGACTAATGCTCCTATTTCATGCCTTATGATCTCATCTGATGACATGCTTGTCTCTGTAGATGCATGATGCTGTGAAGCTGTTTTGATTCGGACCTTCACATGGGCATTTTTTAAAGCATTATCATCTGTTGTGAAGGACGGAAGAAACATGCTGAAAGAAATGATAAAACAAAGGGGGGAAAAGTACATGGGTAGAAATTTGTGCCATCAGAAATTGCATTTTAAATGCTGTAAATTCAGTTTCAATTTAGTGAAATTCAGTTTCAAAACAGCTGTTCAAATTCACTTTCTGATGGTTCAAGTTTCAGCCCATAAAAGCACTCCCATCTTTTTTCTCCTCCTGTGTGCTAAACTTTCTGGCTGATATCTCCTGCAAAACGCAAAACAGAAGCTTTCACTGTAACATGTTTGATACAACAATTTTAGTTGTATCTTTTTTTTTTCATGGCACGTCTTCCATAGAGGAAGGAAGCTGAGTCGGGGGACTTCGGGTTGGTGGCTGAGGTCGCCGAGTTAAAAAGCTGCACAGCAGCTGGGCTCCAAGGGTGGATGAAATTTGCCCTGATTTCCTTAAGGCTCTGGAAGTCATGGGGCTGTCTTGGTTGACATGCCTTTGCATCATCGCTTGGACATCGGGGGCAGTGCCACTGGATTGGCAGACTGGAGTGGTGGTTCCCCTCTTCAAAAACTGGGACCAGAGGGGTGTGCTCCAATTGAATGATGCCCCTATATGGGGCATCACTTTCCTTAGCCTTCCTGGTAAGGTCTATTCAGGGGTACTGGAGAAGGGAGTCCGATCATTGGTCGAACCTCGGCTCCAGGAGGAACAATGTGGGTTCCATCCTGGCCATGGAACACTGGATCAGCTCTTTACCCTCACTAGAATTCTCAAGGGTTCATGGGAATTTGCCCATCCAGTCTACATGTGTTTTGTGGACTTGGAGAAGGCATTCGTCCGTGTTTCTCGGGGTACACTGTGGGGGGTGCTCCATGAGTATGATATTAAGGGCCCGTTGTTACCGGCTTTTCGACCCCTATATAAGTGGTGCAAGAGTTTGGTTCGCATTGCCCGTAGTAAATCAGACCCCTTCAGGGTGGAAGTTAGACTCCGCCAGGGCTGCCTGTTTTCACTGATTCTGTTCATAACTTTTATGGACAGAACTTCTCGGTGCAGCCTGCGGGCGGGGGGATTCCGGTTTGGTGACCTCAGGATTCCCTCTCTGTTTTGTGCAGATGATGTGGTCATGTTGAGTCATCGTACCGTGATCTTCAGTTCTCACTGGAGCTTTGCATCTGAATGTGAAGCGGCTGGGATGAGGATCAGCACCTCCACATCTGAGGCCATGGTCCTCATTAGGAAAAGGGTCTAATGATCTCTTTGGGTCAAGGGTGAGGTTCTGCCTCAATTATCTCAAGGTTTTGTTCACAAGTGAGAGAAGAATTGAGTGTGAGATTGACAGACGGATTGGTGTAGTATCTGCAGTATTGTGGACCCAGTACCAGTTCGTTGTGGTGAAGAGGGAGCTGAGCTGTAAGGCAAAGCTCTCTGTTTACCTAGTCTACATTCCTACCCTCACCTATGGTCACGAGCTCTGGGTAGTGACCGAAAGAACGAGATTGTGGATACAGGCAGTTGAAATGAGTTTCCTCTGCAGGGTAGCTGGACTCTCCCTTAGAGATAGGGTGAGAAGTTTAGTTATCTGGGAGAGACTCCAAGTAGAACCGCTGCTCCTCCACATCGAGAGGAGCCAGTTGAGGTGGTTCGGGCATCTGGTAAGGATGCGCAATGGGCGCCTCCCTAGGGAGGTGCTTCGGGCATGTCCGACTGGGGGGAGACCCCAGAGAAGATCCAGGACATGCTGGAGAGGCTACATCTCTCAGCTGGCCTGGGATTGCCTTGGAATCCTGAGCTGGAAGAGGTGGCTGTTGAGAGAGATGTCTGGGCCTCCCTGCTCAAGCTGCTGTCCCCGCAACCTGACTTCAGACCAAACGGAAGATGATGGATGTATGGATCTTCTTTCGGTCAGAAAACACTGTATAATAATAATTTTAAAAATAATTACATGTCTTGCATTTTCTGTAGCTTTCAGTTTCTGTTTTAATGCTAAATGCACCGTAACTTTAACCAAACTCAAATTCCCAACTTCATAATTATGCACACAGACGGCCATGTTAGTTAGATTTAGAAGAGCATAAGACTACTGGAGTTGTAAACCATTTATTTCCTGACAAAAGTTTTATAGTATAGTATAGCATAATAGTTTTTTTGTTTGTTTGTTTTGATTTTTACAACGCTCTGCCAAGAAAAATCTACACTGCATACCAACAATACAACTGTTTGCTGACTGCATTGTAAATACTGTTTACTTTTCCATCACTACAGATTTTGTTGTAATGAGCTATGTTTACTATATTCGTTAGACGGGGATGAATATACTTGAAGGTTCTGGGTGCTGATTCCATCTTTCAAAACATGAACGATGAATACATACAGAAGCAAAGAAAACAGAATGTTTTTGAAAATGTACTTTCACGTGCAGAGGCGGGAGTGGTGGCGCAGAGGTTAGAGAATGCAAGCCTGTGATTGGAAGGTCACCAGTTCGACCACCTGGACTGACAACATCAACATGTGAGTGGCAAAGATGAAGCA